ACAAGTTACGTCTTGCATAAATCAAAACAAAATGAATATTCAGTGAATATTGGCATATTTTGCATATTTGTTTTCCTGGAAATTAAAGAGCACATGTTTGAAGAAACTTAATATCAAAGGATAATGTGTATGCACCTGTAATACATCTTTAAGAGAAATATAAAGATTGCTCAAGATTGCGCTCTATGGTAGCGAAGAGAAAAAGTAGCTGAAAATCTGACCGAATATTCAAATTTCATTAATTTATGCAAATATTAACTGGTTACCATTGCAGTCATAATTGAAAACACAAATAAATGATAGATCAGGAACATCGGCTGTATTCGGCAGTTTCTAACTGCAGATGCATGCAATATTTTGGTGCATTCACTTGTTACCTCTCGGTTGGATTATGGTAACGCCCTGCTCTGTGGTATATCTAACAAACTAACTAGTAGTCTGCAGAGGGTCCAGAACACTGCAGCACGGCTAGTTACTCGTACTCGAAAGAGAGAGCACATCACACCTGCGCTTTATTCGTTGCACTGGTTACCTGTACGATAAAGGTAGCAGTACAAAATTCTGGTATACACATACAAGGCACCGAATGAAACAGCTCCTCAGTACCTACATGAACTTGTTACCCTGTATCAGCCGTCAAGATCACTGCGGTCGGAGTCAGAATCTTTGTTGTGTGTCCCAAAATCTCGTACTGTGACCTACGGAAACAGATGCTTTGGAAGGGTTTCGGCTACGTTGTGGAATAGCTTACCATCTGCTATTAGGAAGTCAAAATACCCTGGCCAAGATCAAGAGGAACATAAAAACTCACCTCTTCACGTCTGCATTTTAGAATCTTTGCAAAGACGTCATGTCAATACCACCCTTTTATTTGTTCAATTATGTGCAAATTGCTTGTTAAATGTATGAAAGTGATTGCAAGCCTTTGTTGTTTGTTTTCCCAATTATAACCATTACTATTATCCATATGTTGTAAAGCGCCCTAGAGTAATTTTACAAATTATATAGGGCGCTATATAAATGTTGTATATTATGATTTATTATTATTATTAAATGATAGTACCGGGGAAGTATTCAAAATTCGAGAAACAGTCATTTGAAAGTTCTATTTGAAGATTTTTAATTTCGATGGATGTGGGGACCACAAAAGCCCCAAACTATATATAGTCCTTTAAATAATATGTTATTTCGTTGGTATTTAGTTAGGTCGAAAAGGAGAGTGATATGCTACATGTATAATACTTGTAAACTATTTCCATGATGGCATCAACTCACATATCTGAATTCCAATGTTTAATATAACATTCCTTGGGTTGGAATTTTGGAAGTGAATATAACACCTTTGAAGGGGGCTCGCTGAACATTAATTGTTAACGACATTGAAATGATAAGGAAGACGCTTAAAATATACAGAATATCAATTTAATAAGTAAACATGAAACAATTGCACATAATATACAAACAGTATATATACTTGATATGTACAATATTCCAGGTGTTTTTTCCTTATCACAGTAAAATATGCTGTACACATCGTACTTAACCAATTACATATAATACCTAACAACTTGCCAGGGCTCACAGGATCAAGACTTGTATGTACAACGCTGTTTCCTAATACATGTTGATATCATCATTTAGGAGGTATGTTCACTCTCTATGAAGGTAAAGTCGTATCTGTTTGAGATATATATTTTATCGTCTCTACCAAAATGTATTGCTCTGCTTTATTGTTATTGATCGGCTCGAACATAGATATTTTCATATTTAAATGCTTTATTACTCTTAAATGGTAAAATACTGTACTTATGAATCAGTTGTCTATTGTGAGTTTTTATAGCCTTGTTTATTCGGAACATAAATGTATTGGAATAAAAGTTTAATAAAAACTACACAAAAGCGGTTCTGGACAATGTTGTTTTAGAGCATTCCTTTTCCCACGTTGACAGTATACGACAGTTAATGGCATACAATTGGATTTTAAACAGCATTATACCTACTAGACCTTAGCTGGCCCCGTTTGATAACCAACAGAAACTGAAGATCTGGCGTCATAACGAAGTACACAAGCGGTTGACACATAATACACAATAACAAATAAACAACAGATTAAAGAAGCAACAGCCAAGGCTAGAACACATCCTTAAAACAATTTTACCAATCACTACACAGAGTTGTCGTTCCTAACATTTGCTAACATCTCTATCAACGGCTAAATGCCAAGAATCTTGATTAAGTCTTGAAAATCTATTTTAGCTCTTTTCAGCAGTGCTTTACATAAACAATTGATTCAAAACTTCAGTTCTCCGAAATGTGTCATCGTAAGACATTTTTAAACACAAAACTGTTGGATTATATTTGTATGCGCCATTGTGCTATACGGCTTGGTATCTACGTATATACGTATGCCACATAAACAAAGCCACGTTGTTAGCACATGTTGGATTCATGACGAATGTAAGAGATTTAATTAACAAAACTCCAAAGAAAAATGAGCCAAATTTTGGTTTTAGAGGGCAAACAGGTCGAAGCGTTGGAATGAGCGACATTCTGGTGAATTAGCCTGACGATAGAGTAGTCTATGATCTTCGGATGAAGGACTACCAGTATATCGCCAAAGTCAATATTGTCCAAGGCCGCCATATTGTACGGTTGGACGGCACATGACCAGGTGTCACATGATCAGAGGCTAATAATAATGCAGACTACTTTTCAGCCGTTGACAGATGTGTTAGTAAGTGTCAGGAACGACAACTCTGGGTAGATATTACAATTCTACACAACTATCCCCAGGTTATAGTACTTGATAGTAAAACTACAATCTACCTGTTATACGGGTAGCACCTACTAACTACTACAATCCCCGCGTTATTTGTTTGGTGTATATAATACATGTTCAATCCCAAGGTTAATTGTTCCTGGTTTGTTTAAATTGACAGTCGAGATGCATGGAAGGGGGAAAACTTACCACTCATAAACCCCGCTTTTTCGTCTTTATATAGAGATTATATTTATTTCTGTATGTAGAGATTATACTTATTTCTGTATATAGAGATTAGACTTATTTCTGTATAAAGAGATTATACTTATTTCTGTATATAGAGATTATACTTATTTCTGTATATAGAGATTAGACTTATTTCTGTATAAAGAGATTAGACTTATTTCTGTATAAAGAGATTAGACTTATTTCTGTATATAGAGATTAGACTTATTTCTGTATATAGAGATTAGACCTATCTCTGTATAAAGAGATTAGACTTATTTCTGTATAAAGAGATTATACTTATTTCTGTATATAGAGATTAGACTTATTTCTCTAACGTAAATATGTTACCTATATAAAGACATACACTGTACATTTCTATTTAAATCAAACGTGCTCAGAAAACAGTGTGACATTTTCAAAATATCAAATTAATGGTTTCAAATTGAACATCAAGCGATGGTGATACATGTAGCACCAAATCTGTCATTCTATGCGTGTAAATAGGTAATGTAGATAATAAAGGTGGTGAAACCGAAATAATAACGTAATTATATTCTTTTATAACTCATATTTATTGCTTTTAAGTTATGTTATATATACTGTATATAAAATTACATTGTGAGGTTGGTGTAAGAATTTATGAATACCTAACATCCTTAACAGTTTAGCCATACTATACATTTTACTTACGATCCCATTTCAATACATATACTCAAACTATAAACTTTGTGTATGTTTTTGTTCTAGGCGCAGTTATTTACTGATGTTGATGTTTAGGACATTTTATGTGAAACTTTCAAGTTGAATTTATTTTTGCGAAGTTGAGTGCGATAATTTAAGTACATACAGACTCTATTTTATATATATATTTAAATATTGGTACTGATTGTGTACCATTAAGGTGATTTAAAGCGCATTACAATGTACAGCCGCCATATTATTAATCTATGTATATTCCCCTGCTTTTTGTAATCTTCTTTATATTTCTCATTATTTTGCTTTCTGTTTTTTAATTAACTTGTTTGATTAAATTCTTCAATTAAATTCTTCCTATTATTTTTAAATATGATACACTTCACAACCAGAATATTATACAAGTCACCCAACTTTTCTCCGTGTCGATTATGAACTGCTAAAGAGGTTTTTTCGCGTGAGGATATTCGCACGCTTAGAATCTGTTCATTATCGGAGGTACGGGAGTTCGTTCCTTGGCGGTCTCTACTTTAATTCATATATCATTGGAAACCGTAGATAAACTTTTACATTGTGAATAGAGGTTCTTTGATTCGGTAATATTATAGCGCCGGACTGGTAAGTGTATTTATGGCCAATTCACTACTGTTGTAAACAGATTTCGTTTCTAAATATGCGTTTTCCAATGCAGCAGGGAATTTGAAACTAAAATAGAAAATATCTACATTACATATCACTACACTATGCAAAGCATGAGCTTAATATGCAGTGTAGCACTTCGATGTGATATAAACCTGTTGTTTGCGGAGGTTATGGAAAATGTTTACAGGGCGATGTCGTTTTATGATTTAAATGCTAATCAAACTATGTTAAGCCTTGTTATTTACAGCAACTAGAAGTTCACTGCCATATCATACATCGCTAGCAATATTCACGTCATTAAACATTCAACATGTCGGAATTATAGTCATTCAAAAAATAACACATATCCTGGAATGAATGTATTTCGTTTTCCTCGTAATACCAGGGGGAATAACTCCAATAGGATATATACCGTACATTATTGCCTTCATCTCGTTTTTCACTCACATAGTTCACATATATTGATAAAACATCAAACCAATGAAAACAACCTATATCCCTATATGGCATCGAGACAATTATACTTCTATGACTTTCGTGAATAAAACGTCTTCAGCTACAAGTAGTATTGTACAAGTAGGTACTTCATCTCATAAGTAGACATTGCCTGTGTGAAATAAACAGACATCTTGAAAGATAATTTATCAACCGACAAAGATATTATAGGCGGCGTTTTTATGACATCACACTTTTGTATATTCTTTTTGTGACGTCATAACGAAATGACTCGAGATTCTACTATTGTTTTTCTAAAACAGAAATGTACATCTTAAAAAAAACAAGGGAAGTTTTTAAATTTAATATTCAAATAATTCAAAGTTTAAAGAATCGTGACAAAATCACTGTTAATTACATCAAAGTCCTTATCTTAATATTTACTATGAATAGAAAGTCATCAAATTAGCAAAAACACAAACATAATAATTCGAGGATCAACATAAGGCATCGAGTAATAACCGATCGTAATTTTCAAATTCTGAATTATCAAATTAACCTTTCGTGCATCCTTTTCTGCAATCAGTTAGATAGAATACACTAGGAATCAAACAGGCAATTTCACATCTTTCTCACAGATCCAATCAGTCAAATATCTGTACCATGAAGGCAGGAACATAAACCAGAAATGTTATATTGTAATACATGCTACACATATTATGATGCAATGAACCATATAATTCATTGTGTATTGAACCACATACATGATTTACTGAACAATGGACGTTGGTATGAAGTATATTTACAAATACGATGTTTGGGACGGTCTCGATACATGTAACATATGGTTCCTTCCTCCAAATATGTATCTTAATATATAACAATATGTCTAAAAGATGTGTCTACTCTTCCATGATTATTTTTTGCAGTACTTCTTAGGCTATTGACCCATGAGCGCTAAAGATAAACCAAAGAAAATCTTAGGGAGGGTTTGTATAGGCTTTGCCTGTTGCCCAATTCCTTTAAATTTGATTGATTTGATAAAATATTGTGAAATGCAATGAAAAACTAAAATAGTACACTCAATATACTTCCAGTAGATGACGAGGTTTACTTTATTCTCTTGGCTCCTCTATCGGAAAAAATCAGTAATTTACGAAGGGTTTTATGAACTCTATGACACTTTGGAGGAATGGACCATATTTTTTTTTTAAATGACATGAACAATTTTATATTGATGAAAATACAAAATGGGCCAGTGTTTGGGACAAAGTGAAATATGGAGACCCGTTTATTTGTTCGAAGAATTATTATTTCTAAGGCAACTTCATTGTAATGAATGATCATATAAAACATATATATATTAATTTATCATGTATATCAATTATTAGTTCTATATAATTCTGTTTGACATTGGTACACCGTTGTGCTGTAGAATTTTCTTGATTCGTCTCCTACTTTTACAGTAACCTATAGAGAAAAGGATAGTCAACACCGAAAGGCCAATGCATGACGCAATCAGGGCCCACGAGTTGGCACTACTGATGACGTAATCACGAGACATCACGTCTCCCTTGGCAACGAGTCTATTGGCATACCTCTGACGGTACAGCTCGGGAACTTTTTCATTCCAGAAAGAGATTTTGTCAGGCTTGAGTTTAATATCCATTTCTATGTGAGGTCTTTGATTTCCTGCCGTAATCCTCGCGAACACTGGTCTACTAGGGGTGTATCTGTCTATATAGAACTGTTTATGCGGAATCAACGACGGAAGCCTGCAAGTATCAGTACAATAATGATAACATTTTTATCAATTAGGAACGGTATACACCATGTTCTAAATGTGCCATTAGTAGAATCATAGCATTTCTGATACCACTTTATATTTAACCGTTGAGGTAAAATCAAAACATCATCCAGCTGGCAGAAATAATATCTTTTCAATAAACGTCATTGTTCAATAGTCATAAAGACTTGAATTTGTCAAAAAAAAATCATTTTTCATAAAAAATATAAAAAAGACATAATATGACATTATTAACAGAAATAGTAAACAATAAGTTACCCGTTTCGCGCGAAACTTGACCAGAGATACAGCAGAGTCTCGGACATTTTCCGGTCGCTCTCACTGTACCGGAAGTTGACGTGACCTGACATTGGAAACCCTGATAAGTAGAAGAGTTCCGCTCCGTGGACAACCCCTGAAAACATCACCAGAGAAAACAGGTTAGCAATTTCATAACCTAAAAATCCTCTTTACACGTTTAGCATTTGTATGTACTCAGATATCATCCTACCATGTGTAAGTATTCGTAATAACGCAGAAATGATTCTTAACTGTGTTAGCTATCATTGTTAGCCTAGATAATTTATTAGACCATGCGTCAACATTTATATTACCTTCTTATATGTATTAGCATTGATTTCAGCTTCAGTATAGTCCCTGCAGGTAGGGCGTAAGAATTGTACCTGCTGCCCCTATTGCATGATCGTAAGAGGGGACTAGATTTGGGATCTGATATTTTCTCTTCTTTCTAAACAACTTTCTTCTCCTTATGTCTCCCCTGACAATGCCTCACTTTTGGCCTTTAGTTGAAAGTGTTCGCCCCTGTGAGAAAGGCTTTGGGTTCTGTCCCCTGGCCGAGACATACCAGAGTATGTACAAATGGTAGTTTCTACTCCTGCTTAACGCTCAGCAATTTAGGAGTGGGACTACTGGTTCGCCCATGGTCAGTATAATGTGGCCGGTTGGGGTATCCTGATGGGTGTCTTCGACAGTATGTTTTAGTGAGGTAGCACTATAAAGTCGGCATCAATTCCGAGCTATCACAAAGAGACAAACACGGACATATCGCAGCCTCCTAAAACACACATGCATACACTACACGCATGCATCTTGCACACAAGGGTGGGCCGTCCTTAAATGACCATAGCTGTTGATAGGACATTAAACAATACTAATCCAAACTAAACCAAACCAATCAACTTCAGTATGCATAACGTCACATTGAGACCAAAGTCATGAGATGTAAGATAGGTCTACACGGACAACTGTGCCAGGAGTAAACCGTGACTTTTCTATTGATGTGTAACACGTCTTTGTCCTGATGGTAAAATGGGTACACTTTTAATGTGGTCCATCATTGTATTCTTAGACACAGCTACTCCCATGAGGTCTAGTTGATTGATCTAACTACTTGCTTTCTCTTTGGTCTATTTGAAGCGCTGATAGGTAGCAATTGGTGTAAAGTGTGTTTTCGTTCCTTCAGTTATCATCCCATAGAAAAAGCAAGGACAATTAATCCTTATATTTGTAGTGATATTTACGGTGCAAAAAAAAAAGGTGTCAAAATAGTTTGACATTGTCGAGCGCGATATGTAACAAACATCACCGTGTAATCGATTCGACAAAGTAAACAGCTGATTTTTCGAAACAACTGCTTTTGATTTAACCAAGGAATATTTCAGATGTTCAAATGAAGGTTAGAGGATACACATATCGATGTAGTGTGAAAGTTCACGTCTCATTAGAGCTGTCAATCGCTGCAACGTGAAACATCGCGTCAGATAGAAGCTGTCAATCGCTGCAACGTGAAACTTTACGTCCGGTAAGAGCTGTCAATGATTGTAGAATGAAACTTTACGTCCGGTAAGAGCTGTCAATGATTGTAGAATGAAACTTTACGTCCGGTGAGAGCTGTCAATGATTGTAGAATGAAACTTTACGTCCGGTGAAAGCTGTCAATGACTGTAACGTGAAACTTCAAGTCCGGTTAGAGCTGTTAATGATTGTAAAATGAAACTTTACGTCCGGTGAAAGCTGTCAATGATTGTAGAATGAAACTTTACGTCCGGTGAAAGCTGTCAATGACTGTAACGTGAAACTTCACGTCCGGTTAGAGCTGTTAATGACTGTAACGTGAAACTTCAAGTCCGGTAAGAGCTGTTAATGACTGTAACGGGAAACTTCACGTCCGGTTGGAGCTGTCAATGACTGTAACGTGAAACTTCACGTCCGGTTGGAGCTGTCAATGACTGTAACGGGAAACTTCAAGTCCGGTAAGAGCTGTTAATGATTGTAGAATGAAACTTTACGTCCGGTAAGAGCTGTCATTGATTATAGAATGACACTTTACGTCCGTTTAGAGGTGTCAATGATTATAGAATGACACTTTACGTCCGGTTGGAGCTGTCAATGATTATATAATGAAACTTTACGTCCGGTTGGAGCTGTCAATGATTATTGAATGAAACTTTACGTCCGGTTGGAGCTGTCAATGATTATAGAATGAAACTTTACGTCCGGTTAGAGCTGTCAATGATTATAGAATCAAACTTTACGTCCGGTTAGAGCTGTCAATGACTGTAACGTGAAACTTTACGTCCGGTTAGAGCTGTCAATGATTATAGAATCAAACTTTACGTCCGGTTAAAGCTGTCAATGACTGTAACGTGAAACTTTACGTCCGGTTAGAGCTGTTAATTATTGTGGAATGAAACTTTACGTCCGGTTAGAGCTGTCAATTATTAAAGAATAAAACTTTACGTCCGGTTAAAGCTGTCAATGACTGTAACGTGAAACTTTACGTCCGGTTAGAGCTGTTAATGATTATAGAATGAAACTTTACATCCGGTTGGAGCTGTCAATGATTAAAGAATAAAACTTTGCGTCCGGTTAGAGCTGTCAATGACTGTAAAGTGAAACTTTACGTCCGGTTAGAGCTGTCAATGATTGTAGAATAAAACTTTACGTCCGGTTGGAGCTGTCAATGATTGTAGAATGAAACTTTACGTCCGGTTGGAGCTGTCAATGATTATAGAATAAAACTTTACGCCCGGTTAGAGCTGTCAATGATTATAGAATAAAACTTTACGTCCGGTTAGAGCTGTCAATGACTGTAACGTGAAGCTTTACGTCCGGTTAGAGCTGTTAATGATTGTGGAATGAAACTTTGCGTCCGGTTGGAGCTGTCAATGATTATAGAATAAAACTTTACGTCCGGTTGGAGCTGTTAATGATTGTAGAATGAAACTTTACGTCCGGTTGGAGCTGTCAATGACTGTTACGTGAAATTTTACGTCCGGTTAGAGCTGTTAATGATTGTAGAATGAAACTTTACGTCCTGTTGGAGCTGTTAATGATTGTTGAATGAAACTTTACGTCCGGTTGGAGCTGTCAATGACTGTTACGTGAAATTTTACGTCCGGTTAGAGCTGTCAATGATTGTAGAATAAAACTTTACGTCCGGTTGGAGCTGTCAATGATTGTAGAATAAAACTTTACGTCCGGTTAGAGCTGTCAATGATTGTAGAATAAAACTTTACGTCCGGTTAGAGCTGTCAATGATTGTGGAATGAAACTTTACGCCCGGTAAGAGCTGTCAATGATTGTAGAATAAAACTTTACGCCCGGTAAGAGCTGTCAATGATTATAGAATAAAACTTTACGTCCGGTTAGAGCTGTCAATGATTGTAGAATGAAACTTTACGTCCGGTTGGAGCTGTCAATGACTGTAACGTGAAACTTCAAGTCCGGTTAGAGCTGTCAATGGCTGTAACGGGAAACTTCACGTCCAATAAGAGCTGACAATCCATGTAACGTAAAACTTCACGTCTCATTAGAACTTTCCATCAATGTAACGTGAAACTTCACGTCCGAAAAGAGCTGTCACAAATGTAACGTGAAACTTCACGTCCGATCTGATTGGTTTGGAAACGAATGACGTAAGGAAAATCGTATCAATTTAAATAAGTATACCATGTACATGTGAGGGTAGCGTTATGAAGAGTTCAATGAGCTGCTGACATTAAATCAATCTTACACAAACAAAAATCAAAGTCAACTAAGGACTTACGTTACTACAGCGTCACCACACAAGGACAAAATCCGAAATTAAAAGTCAGAAGAAAATAGTATCCGTTGGAACAACAGCACAACAAGAAAAACAATATGAACCCAAAGACAGAGTAGAAACGACACCTGGTGTTACGGAAATAATTAATTATGAAATAAACTAAATGCGGACATAAAGATTTTGTATAACCGAATAAAATTTTAGAATTTAAAACAAAAAAGCAAAATGAACATGAACAATACACTGTAAATAAAAATCCATTTTAATAATGTAAATGATGGTCACGTGCATTCACAAAACTGACGTGCAGTAAATGTAATCGCACACCTTTGTACTCACCGTCCCACAGCGCGTACACCGACTTGTACTCGTAGTTGTAAAGGTAGACCGTGGTATTGCGCTGGGACAGACGTGACGCTATTCTGTGTGTTGGTGCTGTTATGTAGTAGTCACCTACCATCTACAAATATAGAAGCATTAGTGACGTCACCTACCATCTACAAATATAGAAACAATTACAGCTAGACTGATACTGTTATATGTTATTGACGTCACCCACCATCTACAAATATAGAAGCATAAGTGACGTCGCTTACCATCTACAAATATAGAAACAATTACAGCTAGACTGACCATGGTATAAATAAGTGACGTCACTTTCATAATAGTCCTCGCCATATCTTCCATATAACATTTTTGAAATGATTTCACAGACAAATAGATATACCGAAAACGTTGTTGAAAATGTATTCTATTCAAGGCATTATTACCCATGCTCCATCATTTTGTTTTCTGTAATCTATTCCCTTGATTTATAGGCACAGCACCACGAAATAGGTCCATGGTGTAACTGGTTGTAAATATCATACACTAATTGCCCTGGTGGTAGAGGAACACGATTTTCGTTTCCCCGAGATTAATCGTTTTTTCGTGGAATCTACCTAATCCCGGGAATACAAAGAATCGTGTTTTCGTTCCACAAGAGCAATAACTATTTCATTATAGTGATATAGAGCAATAACACAACAGTGAGGATGATCCGACTTTCGCGCCATTGCTGTCGTCTGCTTCAGTCTCTTGGACTTGGGTATGGCGCCTTTTTCTCGTTTTTAGAGAGGTTCTGAATGAGGGAAATATGACCTTGTGGATGAAAACATTAGGGGAACATGATGTTTATTACTCAGTCATGTGAACAATAGTATCCAAACAGACCCGCTGGTATACCAGCGTGGTGTAAATAACATTAGAAGAAATAGATGCATTTCAAAATCTGGAGACCAGTGACTAATTTGAAAAGGAAACATTCAGAAACTAATCTAAGGAACCAGGCATGAACTTCTGAAAGACGTTTCCATCTTACTCTGATTTGGTGTTATGTTTTAACGAGTGATATGGATTCGATGTTTGATAAATGCGGCGTTGACAACGGTTATAAATAGATAGCTGCACCCGCAAAGAGAATGCAACTTTGCCAATAAACTATTTTAAATGTTATAAAATACAAAATCGAACATAGTAAGTACATTTGATCTGCAGACGGTAACACCGTGATTCTTTATTATATTGATATAACTGTAACCTAACACGTTAAGTTGAAGAAGAACATAAATCCTTATATCTCATAACGATGATAGATTTATCCCCCTTACACCGTGTATATAAATTTAACACACCTGTACTTTTAAATCTATAACAGATATCTGTACGAATTAGTTTGTATTTAAATATTTAACGCCTAGTAACGTTTTCCGACGATATATTCGTTACTCCTGTCATTCCTCTACACAGGATAAAGTCTAGCTTTATTTGCTGACAACAGCATACTGCCAGTGTTATTGAGAAGTGAAAATCTGCCGATAGACAGTGGTATATGAAGGATTGAGAAGTGATCCCTGCTTATAGATGCTGGTATATGACGGATTCAAAGTGAAGCCTGCTGATAGGCGGTGATTTATTAAAAATTAGTGGTATATGAGGTTTTGAGATGTAAAGTCTAATCATAGCTAGTGGTGGTATATGAGGTTGTGAGATGTAAAGCCTGCTCATAGCTAGAGGAATATGAGGATGTGAGATGTAAAGACTAATCATAGCATGTGGAATACGAGGTTGTGAGATGTAAAGACTACTCATAGCTTGTGGTATATGAGGTTGTGAGATGTAAAGACTAATCATAGCTTGTGGAATATGAGGTTGTGAGATGTAAAGCCTGCTCATAGCTAGTGGTATATGAGGTTTTGAGATGTAAAGTCTGCTCATAGCTAGTGGTATACGAGGTTTTGAGATGTAAAGTCTAATCATAGCTAGTGGTGGTATATGAGGTTGTGAGATGTTAAGCCTGCTCATAGCTTGTGGTATATGAGGTTTTGAGATGTAAAGTCTGCTCATAGCTAGTGGTATACGAGGTTTTGAGATGTAAAGTCTAATCATAGCTAGTGGTGGTATATGAGGTTGTGAGATGTTACGCCTGATCATAGCTAGTGGTATATGAGGTTTGTGAGATGTGAACTGCTGATAGACGGTGGTTTATTAAAATTCAAGGTAAAGAATTAGGATAATGAGAAACGTGTTGATAGAAAGTGGTTTATGATGGATTGATACGTGAGTTCTCCTTTTATACAATGGTTTATGAGGGAATAAGATGTGAATTCTCCTAATAGACAGTAGTATATGAGGGAATAAGACGTGAATTTTCCTTATATACAGTGGTATATGAGGGAATAAGACGTGAGTTCTCCTTATATACAGTGGTATATGAGGGAATAAGACGTGAATTCTCCTAATAGACAGTAGTATATGAGGGAATAAGACGTTAATTTTCCTTATATACAGTGGTATATGAGGGAATAAGACGAGAATTATCCTAAAAGACAATGGCTTAAGAGGGATTGAGATGTCAAGCTTAACTGAGAGACAATGGTAAAATGAGGGATCGAGATTGGCAACTGGTTGAAAGACGGTTGTTTAATAGGGAGAAGAAGGAAGCCTGCTAAAAGGGTTTGGTACATGTTTGATCGTGACGTGTTTTACATACATGTACACTGTTGCCTACAGCCAAACTCTGAATTAATGGTATCTTACTTCAACTTGTAAATCATTTATCCATATTTTTCTTTCTTTTAGGAATGTATAAATAAAAGTTAAAAGAAAAACAGTCGGCAAGTTTTTTGTTTTCAGACAACATTCATACGATTCAAGTGAAAGCTTAACAGTTACAGTAAACTTAACAGTTACAGTAAACTTAACAGTTACAGTAAACTTAACAGTTACAGTAAACTTAAATCTTCAATCTTTACTATTAAGAGAAACACTCTCTACTCGAAATTAAGTAATGGAAAATGTCTTGTGTTAGATTATAACACCAGCACACGTGTTACAAACAATTTTCACACACAATAAAAGCGGTCAAAAAATCCCTGTTTACCTCCGAGAAGCTGTCCTTTATAGACGAGTCTGAGGTAATATAAGGCCACTGGGTGTAATGCTCCAACAGGGTATCTGAAACAGTAGCACAGTCGTAACATTAAAGCGCTATGTTATATAGAAACAACGACCGGAAACACACCAACGTGAACAACAACTCACCTAATTCTTCATTATGTGTTACTAAAAATTCACCCAAGGGATATAATCCTATACATGTACAAATATATGAGTTATTGTTATTCACGTAACTGTAACCTAAGCAACACCTAACACAATTTTGCATTAACAAAATCCCAAGGGATATCAACTCGTACAAAACATATGAACTAGTGTTATTCACGACACTAAACTGATGGTACACCAACAAAATGTCATCAATAAACTGCCTAGCATGTTGCTTACATTTTGCTAATTTGCTCTAACTGTATCGAACTTCACATCATACAAAATAAGTTTCCAAATAAAGCATGATTGTGACAATGACACTTTCCCAAAGTCTTCATCACCCTGCATCTTTGGAAAACATGTGTTGTATATGACAATCACGACGTTCGTAGCAGGCGCTGGAATACCAAGCTGGGATGCTAATATCAAAAAAGGGAATGCTCAAGGTCAGCAAATCGTGCCGTTTATGGTGATGCTTCCAACCAATGCCATATATGTTTGTTTCTGCCCTACAATGTCATATATACCTCATACTTACTTACAGTGTGATTTATGTCAGATACTTACCTACAATGCCAGGTATTTCCGGAAGGTCTCCTCTAAAACAGTACATCAAGGTCAACAGCTTTGCACGACCTTGACCTTGACCGCCGAAAGCATTGATAAATGGAATAGCTGAAATACACAACATACCTTCAAGTTATGCAAACCTGGTCGTTTTTTGTGATCATATTATGTTTGTTGTACAAGCTATACATTCAAATGCTTTAGCTTCTTACGACATAATTAAGGGCAAATTGTGTTAATGTAAACGGTAGCATAACTTTGAACATTTCAATAGATAAAACTCTCCATTTGCATAGCGAATAGCCTCGCCTAATAAACGAATTACAAGTATTTATGTGTCCCGTTGCTAAACGTCGTATGTTTTGTTACAATGTCGTATTTTGTTCGCTCTGCGTATAATTTCTTACATTTACGTATAGCTTTGGGAATTGAGTTTACTGCACACCACAGATATATATAAATTTGATCTTTTTAAGTCGGGACGCATACTAAACATTGCAAATGATAAATATTTGTATAATAAGGATATATACTTCCATCAAACGAGACAGAATTTGAATTTTATCTGTGGTCTTGGAAACCATTAGGAAATGTCGATAACATTTTTAGACAGATACCACATATCCAGTCTTTATCCATCTTCTATGTTTACACCAGAATTAAAAACTGCTCTATATTATAATAAATTCCACCTAACAGCTCCAGACATGTTTGAATCATTCGTTCTGGAATCAATAATATGTCCATTTTGACTGCTATTGACGTCTACATAGTAATATTTTATCTGCCGTGATTTCATCAGAAAACACGAAGGCCTAGTGAACATTTTTATAACCTGCCTATCAAACAAATCATAGCACTGTTGGTATTTTTATTTGAAATGGACAAAGGCGCTTCACTATGACACTGATATATTTAGAACCGTATTCAGCGGTGCGGTCCAACAGATATTCATTTCGTCTTATCGTTTCATCCTGGTAACGGTGTACAATTGTTTTCACGCCTCGTAAATGTCAAGGACACATTTCTCACAGAGACGACTGTGGACTCAAGGATTTCAACTGATTGCCGACGTTGCGAGAAATATTTAGTTTTTCTTGATAACAGACTTAAATGAGAAAAACAAAAAAGCGTTATCCTCAGCAAGATTCGTGTAAGCCTAAACTGTCCGTGTGAACACGGTGGATCCTCAGAGCTCTTAAATTTGTTCACGACGCGAGTAATTTTCTGGTGACCAAGCAATTGGCTGAAAAATTTCGGCTTGTCACGGAAGAATATATATCACAACATTATTCTGTTGCTGCAACAGATTCGAGATAACAGTTCTAAAAGGGACTTACTCCATGATGCAGTCTTCATAGGTATTTGTTAATGGAACCTCGGCCATTCACTACTATACGGATATCCAGGAAAATTTAACCACATATATACGTCCATAACACTGCAAATGAAGGGGTTATCTCAATATGATTCAAACTTTCGTCTCTTAATTGGAGAACAGAATAAAATATGTGACAATTCGGTCAATGTGGCCGGCGTTTTACAAGGTGAAGGGAACCAAAACACAACTAGAAGCAGGACATGTGTTATAGCAAAGCATGTACAATAAATAGACAAATCATCAGTTTTAATTCATAAGGTAGTTTAATAAGATTGGTTTTTGCTCTTTCATTGATAAAATGATAAATCAAAACTACCGATCGCTCGATTAGACGTCAAAATGTGTATAGCCAAATACGTAATTGTGCACAACGTCATAGTGCGGGAAGAATTGAATCTGTCCTTCGACAAAGTTCTACAGATATCGACAGAGTCCGTTAGGTTACACACCACAGTTGTAATTGTATTCTACAGAAATACTTTCTCGGGTAGTGAAGGATTACGCAATAAAGCAGGTTAGTTAAACAGGGTTAAAAACATTCGTGTGACTTGACGAATGACGTTCCCAACACGAATGTGTCCTTGGCTAGAGATTACGCGGTACGGCAGGTATGTGAACTTATTACGAATTAGTTAATCACAGATTCCCTTTGAAACACTGACAGGAATCACGAATAGGAGGACAGATCGGAGTCAGGAAACTAAAACCTATGTAAAACCGGTGCAGTTTTACCGAGTTTCCCATTCTATATCGAGATTGGTTATCAAATTACCTTACACTGCAGAATTTTTTATAATTCCTGATAACACCATCTAGCCTCAATACAAATGTATAATCTCCGAGGCCTGCTGTTAAACCGTGATAGTGTTTGCGTAAGAGGACAAAACATTGGCGATTCAGTTAGCGACAGTAAACAGCAAATACATTGCAATATCTCTATTTCTGATTGATCAACGGGATTCTTAAACAACATCGAAAATGAATTATAGTATTGTGTATACTTATCTCTCATATATAACGAGTCTTTATCTGATTATGAAATACATCTATTTTCTTCATTGTAGCAGCATCTTCTATGGACAATATATAGAGTTTAACTAGATCGGCACAGCTATATCCCGCACACCCAGAGGTATGGCGCATTATCTCAGTCGAGTGATGGCGATTTGTAATGAATCTCAGACGAAGAGGAGCCCAGTCTGTGATATAACATACAATGTAATATCATTCCGTAAGATCATTTATTGCCGTCAAATTTATGTGACGTCACAATAATTTTGATTGTGACGTCATACTACTTAATCAGATGTGTGATGATTTGGCGCCACTGCAGCAATAAAACGTTCTTAAAATATGAAAATTATATGCAACAGATACAATTATCGAAATGAACCCGCATACAAAAGCACAGGCTTTGGCATTAAAAATCAATCTTTTAATCAATTTGGGATACAACAATTTACAGCGTGTTTTTCACGTGCGCTCCCAAGACTTCTCACAATTTACATACCAGCAATCAGCCCCTCGTCCTTGGTAGCACCAGTGAGGACGCTCTCTACTTCAAAGTCTCCCGAGACCGCCATCCTTTCTGGAGTATCCGGCATGAAATATCCGTCCACTACCGGACGGAACTGTGGGGACAGCGATGGGGACGCCTAAAGGAACAAAGTGTATACAATGTGACACCGACGATAGATGCCTGTCTAAGAGATCATTCGAGGGAAGAAATGAGTTCAATATCCAACACAGGCCGGCCACTGTCCATTGAGTGAAGGGACACTTGTAAAGAAACTCAATGGAAATATATATAGTTGTGACGGCGATTGAGGAACCCATCTGACATGTAACAGTGGAATCGAGGATATATTTATACAGTGTACACGTCATACAGTGTACACACAGTGTACACGTCATACAGTGGCGCAATTCTCGTCACTTAGGATAAACCATATCTAGAATGATAAAATTAGTATCATTACATTGACTAGATCTATAGGAGTATACGTCATCATTGATAAGGATTCGATACTCCTCAGCAATTACCGAATCAACACATTCACTCGAAAACGTTGCAATGACACGCAAACACAGATGTTAAATGTAGAAACTGCATTTCAATGTTATTGAAGTCACAATTGATGCCTTTACAAGGTGAATGTTATGTGTTTGTTTGTTTGTGTTTAACGGCCCATCGACGGCTGAGGTCATTTATGGCCATGTTATACCTTTCTGTGTCGGTACTTCATATGTAAGCGCAACTTCCTTCATTTGATTTAACAGTAGTTGAGAAACTGTATAACGTCCCTTAATAAAAAAATATCTCAAACGTTCCAATTCCGTTTCACCTATACTGAAAAAAGACCAACTCTCCTTAGAGAATGTTCAAAGAAGGGCAATCAAACTAGTTCCATCCCTTAAAGATCTCTCGTACCCTAAGCGTATCCATCGGCTAGGGCTACCATCAATTGAATACAGAAGACTAAGATGTGACATGGTAGAAATCTATAAGCTGATTAACAACATAGCTATAACCAACCAACAAATCACCCTTGCCTTCGACAACCTCAATACGAGGGGAAACTAAAAAAAAACTGAAGAAAATCGGTACAAGACCAACATTAGGGGACATGCTTTTAAAAATAGAATTGTAAATAATTGGAATCAACTCCCTACAATTGTGGCAGATTCCCCAACCTTAAATGTTTTTAAATCTAGACTCAATAAACATTGGGTCAACCATCCAATCAAGTTTTTACCATCGTGCTACTCATATGTAATATAAGTATATGCGCGTCCTCTGCACAACCCGTAAATATGTGAACAACTATGAAGAAGCGTCAACAGAAGCAATACTATGCTTACGAAGACGTCGACCACCATGAACCATGAACAATTCCATAGCACAAGTAGTACCACTGGCTTCTAACATGGAATGATTGATATAATTCTTCCAAGCTTTAGGACTGACAAAGACAAAATCCTAACCGAAGTTTTAGATTAGAAATCTCGTGGGTTGAGATCTTCTGTCTTATCAAAGAAATTATTTCTTGTTTCTCCAATATTTAAAACAAAAACAAGTTTATCTTTGAAATACGACGTTGTAAGATTACAAAAAATGACTTCACTCATTTGTTTTCATGGTGACTTGACAGTGACCGCTTCCGGATCGGTTTGTGGAGACTTCCTACAACCCATGCCAGGGAATGACTAAATGACTAAACTAATGTTATTAAGTTGGTCAGCATTATAAATAAAAAAAAAGTTTATATACAAGACTGTAAGTGACATGATTTAACACATTTGTTACATAAAACATGTCCACGAAACTGTAATTCAAACTCAAAATCTATAAATCTTGGGCAAAATGCGGACAAGGGAAAGATTAACATGAAAACCCTTAAAAAGTAGAGAGAGAATAAGACCAGGTGTTCAAAAAGGGCAAGCGACTTCTGTTTCATCGACGACACCCGCAATTTTAATCTAGGTCAACTACATGTAATGAAACGTCCTCATACCGCAATCTGGGGTAGTGACAACAAACAGAACAACAAGGCACATTAATGAGCATAATAAAAAACACATCGACTTCCATAACACACAGAGAAATGACATGTTTTTCTAAGAGATCCTTTTGGAGACCATCCACCTTGTCCATGGTCGTATACTTCACTTTAACTGATCATATTATAGAAAGTTCCGGCCCAGCTTCATGTCTGAGCTTGGGAGTAATACAAAGGAAACTACAGTCAAGTGTGGATTGCATGTGAAGAGTTTACAGGTACAAATATATCTCTCTTAAAAGTGGGCCTTTTTTCACCGTCTTTGTATTTCCTCAAATTGTGACTATTCTTTTGTATTTTAACCACATAATTTACTGTGTTGTCAAGTGAATATACCCATGTTATATTTTTTTGCGTATTAACCCATGTCATATGACATGTATAAGTACATGACGTCACAGACGTACACACTGGAGTCAACATGGTGGCTTTTTACATTTCAAAGTTGCATGAAAATTGTCGTTTTACACGAATGAATGCCACAAATCTTGATGACGTAATGAAAAGGATCTTTAACTCGTCACGAACTTTTCATTTTAGCTCGCCAGAGGCTCGCTTAATTGAAAAATTCTTAGACTCGTTTCATAAATCTCATAAATTATGAAATGCAAACTCATGTAAGATCCTATATATCAGGGGCCACTTGTATAAAACATCTCAAAGTTAAGGAAAATCTCAAGCAATGTATTGTCTATGGGAAATCTTAGGTTTGAGGAAATCTCAAGATTTGAGGTGTTTTATACAAGTGGGCCCTGATACTCAAGGGCCATTGAATCGATTGCAATACTTTTGCGTGCTTTCATGTCTCTCTTGGCCCATTTAACACTTATACTTCAGTAACTCAATGGACATACCACCGGTCGGTCATTTTAATTCAACCCTGTGGCCATTTATGACCTTATCGTCTATGTGTTGATGGTCTGTTAAGACTACCGTGTCACAAAGTATGAGTTTTTGGTCGCGATACCACTCTGTGGCCATATATGACTTTTTTTGTTTTCACGAGCTGTTACATGTCAGACAAACGCGTAGCCATATGACTTTTTTTTTGTTTTTACGAGCTGTCACATGTCAGACAAACGCGTGGCCATGTGTGACTTTTTTTGTTTTCACGAGCTGTCACGTGTCAGACAAACGCGTGGCCATGTGTGACTTTCCTGAACATGTGTTGATGGTCTGTTAAGACTACCGTGTCACCATGTATGAGTTTTGGGTGTCGATACCACTCTGTGGCCTTAAATGACTTGTTTGTGTTCATGAGCTGTCACATGTAAGACAACCCCTGGCCATGAGCGACCTTCTTGTACATGTGTTAATGGGCTTTTACCACTACTCTGAGGCCAATATGACCTTTCGGCTCTTACTACTGCTGTGTGATCCTGTATGACCGTCTTGTATTTTACTTTTGAAACATGTTGTGCATGTGCTCATAGGCTACCGTGTGGTCATGTACATTGCATGCTCTTAATTCTGCTGTGTGGCCTTGTATAACATTCCCCTGTGGGTGTTCATGGGCCGTTAACCAAATATCGACATGAATTGTCCCACGATAGTCACAGGAGGCCAGCAGTACAATTAAGTCATGCAGCGTTTATTCCAGGCACCAAAAGCGGATAAAGCAGACAAAGGGATAATGGTAGAACTCGGACGTGCACTACTACTGCGGTATTAAGAGCGATGTCAAGCGATATCTTAACTAAATTGGTCTGGAAGAAAATATTCTACTTAGACAGAAGACAGATGTTGTCAAAATAAAAGATATGCCTCCATATTAACCAATAGGCCGCCATGTTCGTTCGTTGGATATGAACCTCGATATCAGATATGATGCCAATATGTCTGACGGGCACGAACCTCGATATCAGATTGAAGCCGACGTGTCTGTCTAATAACATAAAGCATTAAATGATTTGTCAGATAGACACGTCTATGCGACGGATAGCCCAGGCCAAAACATCCAATAGAGTTTATACCGAAAATATACTTTTATACGGAAGTGCATAGACATCTTCATAGTACAAGTCGTTGGTGTAATATAACCACGTGATGTATGTGCACGCACTGTATGCGATGATATAATTGGGTAGCAGTATAGGGTGACATCAATGGATGATAGCATACGATGATACTATTTGTCGATAGTACGCGGCAATAGAATTGAATGACATAATACGATGATATGATCTGACGATAGTGCAAAGTGAAACTATATGGTGATACTATTCTGTGATAGTAGATAGAGCTATTATTTGGTTATAGTATAGTGCTTCTATTTTGTGACAGCCTGTTGCAATTTTGATGAATGATAGTTAATTGTGATGTGAATAGATGCAGGTATACTAATTGTTACGTGATTGTATGTTGGGGTTGTTTTTTTTTGTATTCCATTTTCGATTTGATTTAAAAACAAAAGTACTTACGTCATGATTCTGTCCGATGAAAGCGTGCATTCGTTTTGAAGGAACAGCCTGTAGGCATTTCTTGATTTGTGCTGAGTCTTCAAACAGACAATCGAAGGCCGAGGCGAACACCTTGAAGTGCACGCTTTGTCCCCCCGGGTATCTAGTTACTGCCCAGTGCGCCAATGGGGAACCACTCTGAAGAATAACTCGTCGGAAAAGCCCTGTAAAAGTAAGACCGAAAACTGAAATTGTATTTTACAAGTTCGATTTGTAACCGTCCCTTTGGTTAAGATAAACCGATTATATTCGGTCAAGAAACAGATAAATGTCAGATTAGACTTATATTTCATCACGCCGCCAGACATAGGTGTTTATTGTGCACTGGTTTTTGGGAAATATAACATGGCAAACTTTAGATGAAAACACATTTGTTTTGTTGAATAGAATACTACAAATATACTAGAATGTTAAAGGACTGTTTTGACCTGCTAGGATCTGAACTTAAATAGAATTCTTACACCAACTATATAACAATGCAAGTTAGATGCATATTTTTGAAAAAAAAAATCTTCTGCATATGAAGGACCTCGTGCTGTGATATTAAAATTTATGACAGATGATTTTGTAAAACTGAGATTGAAGAACCACTCTAAGGTAAATGTTTACAATGTGAACGAGATCCATATGGGAGTCTGGCTGTTCGATGAAATACTTGTAGATTCAATATAACAGTAAACCTATTACAGTAAACCCATTTATATCGAATTCGAACAGGATTTAGCCACAGCAAAAATGGAACAAAGGGGATATGAAAAAGGTGATCACTGAAAAAGTACTAAACGAATTATATCAGAGCCCGTATTTATGAAACCGTTTTTCAATCCCAAGCATTGATTTTGTGCTCAAGCAGAATTTCTTTTTTCCCGTTTTGAATTAATGCAATTTTTTATTTTGTCAATGATTTGGAGAACATTTGAAGAGACTTATAGCTGAACACTATTTTAAAAGTTTCCATTCGACTTTTTGATTGCCTGACATGATTTAAGTACAGAATTAATGCTTGAGCCTGATCCTGGTTTCATGAATACGGGCCCAGGTGTTTAGAACGATAATTGTCATCTGCTTCTAGGTCAAATCTTAGCGACATCATCTGCACCAAAATGAAATCTGCAGAAGTAACAACAGGATCTGTAGGAACACTAATGAGCCTGATAAAAACAAAGTTGTTTATATCGCTCTAGGAAAAAGGGAATATTTCAAGGTAAATATTAAACCTGCATACAGTCTTCACCAGAATCTGTCCCAACTACAAAGAAACGCAGTATGATTTTATCACTATTTAACACTCAGTATCATAACTTGTCGGAAAGGCAATGTAAAAGTAAGATAGAAAACTGAAATTGTATTTCACAAATCTGCTTTGTAACCGTCCCTTGGGTTAAGATAAATCGATTATATTCGGTCAAGAAACAGATAAATGTCAGAGTAGATTTTTTATTAAACTTCCAAACAGTCTTCATCAGAATTTGTCATAACTACAAAGCAACGCCCTATTATTTTATCACTGTTAGTACTCAATGGACAACGCAGTATGCTTTTATCACTATTAGTAACGGTGTAGCGTGAAAGAGTGACGGCACTGTATCTATTTCACGAAAAAGAAAATCTGTAGAACGTATGGGTCAGTTTTCTATGTGTGCCAGTGAAGGATTTCTTCGTAGATTTTGTACCCCGGATTGTTTTTCTACGCGGGTCACTTTTTCATGTTACACCTGTCTAAATGCTATTTTAGTTTCTGTCACGAATATCCGATACCACTTTTTAACTATACGGAAAGATGATTTAATAAGTTAATTACGTTTAAACAAAATCCATTGCGAAGGAATGTTAAGTACATGTAATTGACATATATCGGGAAAGCATAACAGCGCATCGTCCAACTGAAGACCAAATTTTCTGGTTCATATGAATTTCTAGAACTTATTCCGTAACAGAAAATAAATTACGTTCAACTAAATAGAAACATACATGCATAAGTTCGAAGGTAGTTAAGCTGCACAGGGTTAGTACGGATATTGACGCTGGATATTTTAGAAACGGAACACCGGATGCTTTAATATGACGACATGTTTCGAGATAACATTATGCAATCAACCGCTCTTCAATACATGCACGTGTAGATAGGTAATAGCTCATGAAAACACTTTACACTATTAGCGTACCTCTCCCTGATCAATCACACAGGATAAATTGTTTTTCGATAAGTAATCCTAATGCTACTCATGAGCATGAGGGTGCTGTGCAAACACCGTTTTCAAATCTTAATGTGAAATTTAAATCTTTTTTCTACAAAATTCAAATTCAAATTTGGATAAAAAGTGCAAATCGGGTATAAGACGCTACTGATTCATCAACGACTGAAACATCACATTGTGCAACTCGCGAAAATACACCGTAATGATAGAAGCGATATGTTTCTTTAAGTCCTATGAACGAATTATGTTTATATACCAATTTACAACTCTTTCTCTGATGAACAAATTTATCCTCATAAAGTATGTATAGTCATATTCTTCAATGTGTTTCCAGTATAAATGTCTGTCAGCTGATAGGATATGAACATTATTTTTGATTTATCGCCAGTAGCGCTCTGCAAGAGAGCTGTATTGTTGGCGATAAGTAGCGTGGTACTGAACGACAACGGTTTGGCTTGTTAATGAGTATAGATGGATAGCGGGCACCTGCTCACGTAATCCTACCAACCAACGCACTTAATCCTTCCATCATTGACAGAGAACAAGCTGTTCATTACAGATAAAACCACTTCATCCCTTCATATTCCCTCGTCTAATGTAGAAAATATTATCAAATATATCCAAGGGATTTTTTTAGAAAAGATACCAAACTGTTTATCAGAGCCATATTAACCGTGTTTTCGAAAGCTGACGAGAGTCATGATATTCTTGATTTGACAGAATGATGCTTTTACTTTTGTGTTGGCGTCCAGTCGGTTTATTTTGCTGTATGACACTTTAAGTTCAGATTTCGTCATTACATGTTTACGATACGATGTACTTGTTGAAAACACAATAAGATTTGTTGTGAAAAGTTATATCACCTGCATATGTAAAAACATTTATCTTATATTACATGTGCATTACATATTACGTTTTACATGTAGAGATAACAAGAATAACAAGAATTCCACGGAAGTGGATGTGTCGCCTGCGCAGGAAGCTGGGAGATTGTGCTTAGCACTGCATTAAGTTTGAGTTTGATCGGCCTAAGGAAACTCAAGTTATCACACGAAAACCTCTGTGCGGACGACGCCGCCGACGCCGACATCGCAATACCTCTGTGTCACCAGCTTTTCGCAGGTGACACAAAAACTGAAATATAAAAAGTACTAAAACTGTTTAAAGACATGAACATACATGAATATCAATCATCCACACTGATGGCCCTATGCTGCTGTACCTTTAGCTAACGGAGACATCATTACTAGTCCTGCACTGGATCCGCCGGCGCTGTGACCGTCTATGGTGACGAGGTCAGGGTCGCCATGGAAATAAGCAATGTTGTCCCGTGTCCATTGCAGGGCGGCGATGATATCCAGCATCCCATAGTTCCCCGGTAGGTCGGCATCACCAGTGGCAAGGAAACCTTCATGAGCAAACCATACAAATGCTTTGAGCGTCATAAAGGACATACATAAATATTATATTAAAAGAACTAAGATGTACATCCGCTTAATCCCATTGCATTGTTGGATATGAAATATCTAAGACCTTTGCTGATGCTTACTTTTAACATGCATGTCTAAAATAATACCGAACCGGTCGAACATGTATCTTGTTGTACATGAAATACACGTCAAACAATATATTTGCCATACCTTAAGACATGCTTCGCGTGAAGTAAAAGATAAACGTGAGCTACACACACACATGCTTGCACCTGTAACATTTGGTCATCGTTACAGTATGCCACAAGTAAATAACACTGCACCATTCAGCTGTTCCGTCCTTCTAGAACACGTCGGTGATACTAGGGACTTATTGGAACACAACCCAAATTCGTCATAAGTACCGTAAAATACAAGGGCAGTTGCGTAAAAACCCTTCATTGTAATACCTTCACAAAAGTAACAAGAGTACTGGTTAATTTCAAATAAAAATGGCTATCCAGGCTCGTGGACCAAGAAAGCCACAAGCAGTGTCTACCGCCTTGTTTCTTGGAAGATGGACGTAACATACACACATGTGATTGTCCCTGCAAAATTTGGTAGTACTATTTTTTTTAATTCGTTCATATTTTATTGAAGTGGTAAAGAAATAAACCTCAGATCAATCAAGAGTTTTGTTTTTAATGTAAGGATTCAAGATGGCCGCCCTGGCTGCTGATCGACTGACACGTGTACCCATAAACGTTTAAATATATCGAAGATAGTCGAATGACATCTCTTGGGGGCCATCACTTGACACTGCAGGAATAGTTTTGTTGACATTCGGAACAGTCCACATTAAAGTAGAAAATAATGATGGAAAAGAAAATCCAATGATCAGCTGAATGTTTTCCTCGATGCTGCTAATTGCAGTGAAGTGGTACATTGTATATACAAATTCTGGAATTCGTGCCAGACACAATCCATATTATACAATGGCTGCACATCAAAGGCTTAATGTCACGTTTAAGTCTCGCCGCGTTGTACAATTTACGTAGGCTCAAATTGAAAATAATCAACACCGAGGCAAACGTTCCTAATCGCTTTGTACTCTTGTGACCGAACTCAACTCGACTGGGACTTCAAACGTGTTTCAATATCATATCATATTTCTTAGACTTTTTTACCTAGTGTGTCATCTTTTTCACAAAGTGATTAAGCTACGAACTTACCAAGCGCTCCAATCCTGTAGTTGATTGAAACAACCACAATGTCTTGCGCCGCGAGAGCACTTCCATCGAAGATGGCGCCCATACCCGTGTAATACGAGCCTCCGTGTATAAAGACGAGTACCGGCAGAGGGTGTGCAAAATGATGTCCTTTCTGTAATGAGAACAAGACATATTATATTCATGGCAGTTTCTGAGAGACTTTGAACAATTCAAATGCAACACATCAGGTAATTTATTAATATTCTGATAATGGTTTAACGGTTCACGTTATCGTTTATGCAAACTGCATCCTATCTAAATAAACAGTTCACCGCCAAATCAAGAAACAGACAAATTGATGCAAATGAAAGTGTTATCCTAACAAGGTTAGTTTAACACAGTCGTATGACATGATCAACGAAGTGAGAAGAGAACACGTTTACTGGAATGTTATGTAAAGTTCAGCAGGGCCGTTAAGTGACACGCAATAGAATATAGCAAACATGTTGTTCATGTAAAATCATCTTCAATACAATCGGAAAATGTTGAATATAAAAAACAGGTTTGCTTAAGGAAAACGAACATTTGTTTTGATTACAATTATCATTCATGCCTAGTTGGAATATCAACGGGTGAATTGTGTAATTATTTTTAATTGTTTGTACAAGCATATTTCTCAGTAAACATTTTATCAAGGAATTGTAGTTGAGTGTGTAAGCTACGTATAAAACTGTACTAATGGTAAACTAAGCATATGGCTTCATCGAGTACGCTTCTTGTCACATGTATGCGTCTACGTGTAAACACGGTTTTATGTTAATATCCGTAAATATACTTTATACTGGGACATTTTCGCCCTTCGCCTGTAGAATCCATATTCGCAACGTTATTGACATTATGCGATCTTGATATCAACTGAGGCCAACTTAAGAAGTGCATTACACAAGTTCTAGTTCAACGGACTGATCAGTGAATAGTACGCGGTGACTTCGAGACATAGGTATACTGACTGTTTTATTACACCTGTGGGTTCTACTGTGTATTAGTACAGGATGATATTGTTTCTGTTATATCCTAGTTCTATTGATTGATTGAGTTGCTTTACGTCCGCTTCGTGACCGCATAGCTCGGTTATCAAGCAGATGAACGCATCTTAGTTTGATTATCTAAGTATATAAAGGACACATATTAGTCAAGAATATAAGTAGAAGAAAAAAAAATATACAGGACGTTTTGTGGTGTCATATTTTAATCACCTGGGAAGGTGATGAACCAAATATAAGATTGAACATTAGAATTCGTGACATTGTCCTAATCTCTATTTTAATGAACAAATCATTAAAAGTACGAAAAGCCTGAAACTTCATCAAGGATGAGATAACATTCTGTTGCGTGAACTTTCGCCGAAGGTCAGAAAGATACAGGAAGAAATATTAATTAGTAACAAGGTTCATAATTATCATTTGCAGTTGCAAAACGGCGACCGTGAAAACCGCCAAGTTTGTTTTAGCAGCGTCATGTTATAAAATATTACCATTTGTAACTTATTGTATTACAGAAGGAACGAAAAAGGAAGGAAGAAAAGCAATTGTGTCAATGGGTTAAATAACGAGTAATGAAATTGTTTTATATAAAAGATATCCAAACACAAAGTTCCCTTTTGTATTTGTAATAGTGAAATATAGGAATCGTTGACAGATTTAACCTAAACACACCTGTAGATGTAGGAAGGGGATGGATAATTCGTTCATTTAAGAGAGGTTGACAAGAATTACTGAAACTATTTATAGGAACAAAAACAAATACAATGAAGAGTTTGTACCCATAAACATGACAACTGATACTCGACTGACGTTCACACTAATGATTAAAAACCTGCCATTAAATGAAACGCAATAGCTTAGGTGAATCGTTTTATAGGCAAGAGATGATATCAATATAAACATTGTCATATAAATGACACAATTTAATCATTCCAGCAACTCGAAAACCATTCTAATACTGAAAGTAATATCGCATCAAAGAGTCACTGAAACAAGTACATGAAGGTCAGTGGTCTTGGGGCAACACTCCTCAAGAACTTATTTTCGAACACAATTGCCAATTTTTGTCATTTCCCAGGAGAACCATTTAGCGGCAGCAGTTTTGAGCAAACATACTTGTTCATCAAGAGGTTGGTAACCCCTAGCGCCCTCTGTCGCTGTTATTGGTTTAAATCTTGACGCATGGAACGTTTAAAGATTGGTGTCCTTTTACTAGCGGTCCTTCATTCCGGACTCTTAACAAAGATACTGCACTATACTAGATGTTTAATTTTTAAAACTCTGTCTCGGCAGATAAACAATATGCCAAGATTGGTGTAACGGCTAGGGGTATCCTTCAATACGTAACTATGTCTCCTTCCCATCCACAATGTTATTGGATCAATATTTTACTAATTAAACTTCTCAGTGCAGCTTGTTGACTTTCTCGGTCGCAGGGATATATTAAATGATCATACTGTTTGGCTTCCATGGAACATTGCGGTCGTAATTTGAAATATTTAGCTTTCTTTGTTATATAAAATAAACTTGAATACTAATACAAATGAAGATGTTAACAGTTCTTAATTATTAAGATATTTGAAATATTTGAAATTAGACTTGACCCTCAGATAAACATGGATGGTGAATTCAACCTGCACAACACACCTACATATATATACATATTTATCACCTACATTTTGATTTCATTTTGTTAAGAAGACTGATTTCTTTTTCAAAAACTGTTTCCCCCAGATTTGAGACTTGTGAAAACCATTGTTACCACATCAAAAAACACCAAACTATGCAAAAAAACATGATTTGTAACCCAAAATTTGACCCCCGCAAGTAGTATTTTTTTTCTTAAAATCCATCTGAAATTAAATACCGCTTACTCGGTAACAGAAATACTCACGTTTTAGCATAGGTCATCCCGTTGGATTCTTCACAATATTTATACTTGTGCTGAGTACACAAATAGACTACATGAAAAGCTAGCTTTTGTTGTGTAGACTGTAGTTGTAAACTGTAGTCTCAAACCAAATTCGATTTTCTCTTTGAAAGATTATGAAGCCCACATAGTCCACTTCATCATGTATATGCCAATTTTAGTGCTGATTTCTTTTATTTTGATACATGTTATATTACAGGGGTTATTCATTGTATATAGATATCACCCATGGCCATCGTACGTTACTGTACACTGCTACCTTAGTGTGAGAGGAAACCGGAGAACCCGGAGAAAACCCCATGTGATCGCACCTATAAGTGGTTATAGATACAGTATGACAAACAAAATTAAACTGCACCATACAGCTGTTTCGATGATGCCTTGCTCCTAAAAGGTTGAACCCAAATTTGTTCTAAACAAAAACGTTGAGATAGAATGGGTTGAAAGATAGATGTGGGGAAATAACAGAGTTAAAGCTTCACAGTACACAATAAATGGATTGTTTTATAATAGAATGTCAATCAAACAACCACATCGAACACTTTCCCAGCAGCAACAATGGTCGTTTTCTCCTAAACGTTTGACGAAGGAACAATATCGGGAAAATAATCGGGCAATAAATATTCATCCGGAGGTAGATATTAGCCGTGATTACTGTTCTGGGTCCCGATATACCGTGATTGAGTTTGGCACCATACCATTAACATTGACACTGGTTGTAGTGTGTGAATATTTAGAGCTTGACCCAGACACAAAGCAGATACACTAAAATTACCCACATTGTTTGTTAAAGTTCGGTCGAGCACAGCCCTACTGTTGTTAGTCAGTTTATTTTGTCACATAATTGCTGTAATTTTTAAAATAGCGGTAGAAATACAGAGTCCGTACATTAAAATCGCTTAATAACCCTCTGAGGTTTCTTCTAGTTCAAACGCACTTTACAGGTGTATGTATACTTGTGTTATGTTTCAACGTTAATTTCTCCGATACGAGTGTAATGGATACTTGCACGAAATATAAATGACTTTGCACTGACAACAGTGCCCTAAAGTGTATCAATGAGAGCAAATATAGCATAGGAAGTGCTACATAGATTACTCATATTTCGCATGGCATACAATGTATAATTTTGTCTGGTATCGTGCGCAACGGACTTGGGGCATTGTGGGGCATTTTCGACCTCATTAAAAAAAATCCAAATCCAAATTGAATTAACTTACTATTTTTATTTATTAACATCATATTGATTTATTGGGGCAATCTTTCCTGGTGCAGCTATTTTCAATGTGCATGCGTAGATGTTCCACGATAGCAACAATAACAATAGCCAAATTATGGTGCTTTTGGAGAGTTTGCATGCAGAAATGAAAGCCTCCGCATGTTGCAATCAAAAATTCCTTTCTACGAAAGAGCATTGGTATGTCAATATTTACGCATGCGAAATACACTTTTGGTTGGTGCATGCGGAGACTTTAAAAAATTAACAGTGTTTATAATTAATTTGCTTCAAAATTGCAAATTTTCAACGTTATGTTATGTTATATATCCTGTACCAGTTGTAGGGTTATATTTGTGTACCTCATTCATTCCAGATTACGGATATAATAACTAATTCAATATCCGTGATGAGGCCGAAAAAATAACCCTTAGCGCCCCTAGACGTTTTCAACTATCACGTGATTGAAACAACTTATAATCAGATTTTTGTCTGCTATTAGCACGAACTTGCCATATATATTTGATCATTTTTCTGTTTTTCAATCTGTCAGGATACCGGTAAATGATACTGGTCTCAGAAACATCATAAGAATCCATATTAACTACGTATTATCGCTTGATTGCTAGCTGTTGAACAAGCAGGTGTCCAAACCTCTTATTTCTGTTCTAAGTAGCATTAACTCAAACTTACACCTGTACTGTGACACTGTATACTCCGGAAGAAGAATCAATTGAATATGACTTTTGAAGAACTCAAAATAATTGTGCTACGACAAAAGCTTCCTCAAAAAATCTGATTTTCCCACTTTTCTACCAATCATACGTAGTACATAATTGTAGCAAACTGAGGGACTGCCTTTATTGCAAGAGCTTGCTATTCCAAGAATAGCAAGCGAAAGGCGATATAACTATATGTTTGTATAGTTGACAAATGCTAAGATCTCCGGGAGCCGGTATGGGTCATCGAAAAACGATTACATG